GTGGCTCAAGTGTTAGACCTCAATACCACCAAAGGAAAAAAATTCAATAAAACAACAAAGGATTAATGCAGGAGATGACTCTTTTGACTACAGCTCATGTGCATGTGGCTTGCTCCATGAGTATTGGCTGATAACAACTCAAGTCTTACCCCTGCTTTACAAAATTGTCCTCAACCAAAGAGGAATCACTTACTCTAGTATTTGATCTAAGACTTATAGTAGAAAATAAAATATTAGTGCCTTTCTATTAACATATGACAATGATAGAATCCGATACAAATATACATTCACAGCTGTAGTTTTAGCCCAATAAGTAATTCACTTTACTAGCCAATCTACTTTGAATTACACACTTTAAAAATTTTTAAACAGAAATTTCGTTTTTCTTTTTGAGCGTCTTCCTTCCTGCAGATCTCCCAACTGAAGGAACTCAAGAATATCTTTTTGGCCCAGGCAAGGTCATCTGGCTCCTCTCCTTATCTCCCTGACTACAGGAAAAGAAGAAATGAATTAGGAAATCGAGAGATATAATTCCTGAGACTAACTCGGTATTGGGGGAAATGAACAGGTCCAAGGCCATTAGCTTGCTCAAAGTCATGCTTCTCAACTCCTAATCTCCTGGGTTTTTAAGACATATTTTTAAATATTCTTTTTAAAATATATTTTAATTTTATGTAGGTAGTTGTTCAAAAGAGTTGCCATTCAACAGAGCAGTTTATGAATGTAAGGTCAGCACAGGGACACCTCCCTCCCTTTTGGCTAAGTTTCTGCCCAGTATCTGTTACCTAGGTAACTGGCAGACCTGGAAGCAGTTGCCTTCCCCTCCTGCTAGGTCACATCCTGGGCCACCTCTGGTCACATGCCTCCCATCTGACACTTGGAGGGTCCCAGACCCTGAGGTCACATGCAGATCCAGTGTGGTCACACCTTTCCCCCACCTGGCCACACCTCTTCCTGTCCCTGGCCTAGATAAGTCCTGGCCTAAAGGTGGGTCACTGCTCTTCCTCCCCCCCATTTTCTTTTTCAGCCATGCTTCTCCACAATGCATAGTGGGAGGGGGGCAGCAGTTCAGTAAATAAACTTCTTTTCCTGGGGCTGGGAATGTGTCTCAGTAGTAGAGCACTTGCCTTGCATGCATGAGGCCCTAGGTTCCATTCCTCAGCACCACATAAGCAAAAAGAAAAAAGCCGGAAGTGGTGCTGTGGCTCAAGTGGTAGAGTGCTAGCCTTGAGCTGAAGAGCTGAGGGACAGCCCCCAGGCCCAGAGTTCAGGCCCCATGACCTGACCCAAACAAAAAAACAAAGCTTCTTTTCCTGCCTGAATAGTGCATGGTGTTCTCTTCATTGGCTACCTAATCTACTTAGTTAATATACCTTACAATGAACATAGTGCCTCTTCATCAATGTCATCCCTATCCATTTTCATATTCTCATCCACTCCTCCCAACTCCATCCCTTCCCTCACTTTTCTTAATTTTTAGGTTATATATTTTTGTCACTTAACAATGCAATTTATGTATAAAATGTACCTTTGTCACTTAACAATGCAATTTAGATATAAAATGCACCTTGATCTGTGTCATCCCTTCAACATCTTCACTCCCCCTTCCACTCACCCCTTCCCTTATTTTTCTCAGATTGGTGGCATATACAATGCATTCTGGCCTGTATTCTACTCATATCCCCTATTCATTCTTCTATCCCCTCTCCTCTTGATTCTCCACCCCCTTGAAGTAATGCCACTAGCACAACCATATTTGTTGCATCATTATTTACCATAGTCAAGATATGGAATCAGCCCAGATGCACCTCAGTGGACGAATGGCTCAAGAAAATGTGATTTTATACACACACACACACACACACACACACACACACACACACACACACACAAAATGAAATTCCATGCATCCATCAGAAAGAATGACATTGAACCTTTCATAAGGAAGTGGAAAGACTTGGAGTGAAGTAAACCAGACCCAGAGAAACATAGGTTCCATGGTTCCTCTCATTTGTGGGAACTAAAATGTGCCTGTAAATCTAGAAGTAAACACACTGAGTGGCACCCAAATGCATATAAATGAATTAACTGGGACGGGGGGAGGGAGAGGAGGAGATGGGAAGGGATGGGAAGGGGAAACAAAGGAGGAGGCAACAATGCTTAATAAGAAATGTACTCATTATTTTGCCCATGTAATTGTGACTCTTCTGTACAGTATTTTCACAATAAAAAAAGAACGGAAAAAAATAAATGAATTAACTGAAGTATAATAGAATCTATGAAGAATGCAAATAGAAAAATTCTTTAGGAAGACTAAGTCAAAACCTAACAAAATGAGTCCTGGGTATATTCTTAATTATCTGTTCTCCCCTCTTGAGAGAAAAACAGAAGCCTTTGAGATAGAAACTCACTACAGTCCTTATTCTACCTGGCAAATCAACAAAGCTTTACTTCTTTTACCTCCAAACTCCTTCCTCTCCTTATTTGTATATTCAGACTCCAAGGACCAATTTTTCAGCTTAATGACCACTGTCCCCAGAGTCTTGAGATAGGATTAAGCAAAGTTAACCTCATACTCCCTATCTTGATGACTACTTGTACCTTTTAAGGTGAGAACATCATCTCAAGACACTACTTCTGTCGGATTTCTCTTCCAGAATCTGTGTTATGTGTCTCTTTATAGAAATATTCTTCTTAAGATCACAAAAAGTGGAAACAGAAAATAGATAATACTTGTGATCTTTTTAACAAATAAAAAATCAAGAGTGGAAGGGCATCTCTTAAAAGAACCTGAGGCTGAACCTAAATTAAATAAAGCTTTTGTAGAATTAACTACCATTTCACTGGAAACACAGAATAAAGGAGCATATGTTAATAATGACACCAACAAGATTCTTATTAGATATGTGGGAAAATGTAGAACACATGACTGCTTCATCAATAATTAAATTGAAATTTTATAAGTGTGAATCTATAGGTTAAAGAAATGTAGGAGATTAACAGCCAAATCAAATGCACTGTTCTTCCTGGGATAATGACTCAAACAACTAAAAAGCTGTTACAGTTAGGACTGTAAACATAGCTTGGCCATAAAATAATATTAAGGAATTGTGAAATGTTAAATTTTGTACAGTATTGTGCTTTATATATGCAAACACACAGCTCAATTCATACATGCATACATACACATATTGATATACATATTCACATATAGAGTCCTTATCTTATAGATCGTCATTTTACTTTGAAATATTTAAGCCTAACGTGTTTTTATGTCTAGAATCAGTTTCAAAAGTAATCTTCAAGTGCTGGAAATGGGTAAGGTTGAAGATTAAATAAAACGGCTGACTTAACTGGTAGATCATAAGGATATTGGTTTATATTATTCTTTTCTATTTTTACATGTATGAAATTTTCTATAGAATAAAATCAAAATAAAGTTAATGGAAAACATAGAATTTTCAGTAAAGAGGGAACAAAATGTAAAGGGATTAAATTTTATTTATATATTTTTCTGCTTATGTGGTGCTGAGGAATGGAACGCAAGGCCTCATGCATGCAAGACAAGCACTCTGCCACTGAGCCACTTCTGAGCCCTGGGGATTAAATTTTATAAGGAAAAAAAATCTATAGTCCTTGATCATTTCCTGACACACCTTGCATTTTTGTATAGAGAAAATAGTGGGCACTAGTAGCAGTGAGGAGCATAATTTGGGAATGGGATAGGTGGAGCAGATACTGTATTTTAAATGCTGACATGTTCATCATAGATATTCTGGCACTCATTTTATACTAACTTCTGAGATTTTCATGCATTCTTCTTAAATGCTGAGATTATGTCCTGGTAGTAGTGGTAGAGGCATAGAGCAGGTGTATCCTAGGAGCAGACAAGAGAAGAAAGACAAGCAATTCCTCACAGAAGAGAGAATGATCAACAGCCTTCTGAGCTGATACTGCTCCTCCATGGCCGGCAGAGAAAGGCCAGGAATACACAAAGAGCAACAGGATCCAGTCCTCAGACAAGGATCAGGACTTGGTGCAAGGGGCCAGGCCGTCCCGCCCCCGACCCCCTTATGGACAGCCAGAGGAGGCTGGACGCGAAGGCGGAGCCTCTAGCAAGAGGGGGGAGGGCAATGCAGGCCTCACGTGACCGTTCACTGTAGATAAAAAGGCTCCCAGTTCTTTCGCCAGCCACGACAGGCGCTCACACAGCCGCTAGCTCTCTAGCTCCCTCCCAGGCCGCCCGGAGGCGGAGGAGAGAAGGTGAGGGATTCGGCGGGGACCCCGGGGGTGGGATGGAAGGTGAGAACGGACCCCGCCTGCAGACCCCCATGTCAGGTCCTGCCGCTTCTGGCGGAGAAACAGCGGGTAAGGCTGCAGCCCGCGTGTCCTGGCGCGGCCGTTGGCCGGAGCAGACGGTGATGGGCCCGGACTATGCGGATTTGCGGTCCTGAGGCTGCGATCCTGTGAAGACACCTGCCTGCGCCATGAACGCCAGCTTTTCCCACGGCCCCGCCCCGCCCCCTCCTGGTCTTCTTGGTGCAGAAAATGGTGGTCAGAGCAGGGGCGGGGGCCAGAGGGGGACCGCGCTGGGTCGGGGGGCGAGGGGACAGTGCTGGGCCAGACGGGGAGGGGCGGTGCCAGTTGAGGAGCTGCATACCAAGGAATGGGGATGGGGAGTGGGAGGTGGGGGGCGGTGCCGGGGTTTTAAGCTGCAACAGCTCAGGCTCTCACCACCCGTCTGTCTGCAGGTCTGTGTGTTGTAGCGACCCACCTCGAAACGAGATTCCGGCAGAGGAGGCAAGGATAGGCCCAGGTGTGTGTGAGGGGTACTGCTGAAGGGGTGACAGCGGCATATGTTGGGTTTGGGAGGAGAGCGGGGAGCGGATTTGGAGCCTCCTGTGATGCACTAGGCTTGTGAATGTTGAGAGTTGCATAGTGGGGCCTCTGTCCGTGGTCCTGAACAACCCACTAAGTCTTTCTCTTATGTCTTAGGAGTAATGGCGTCCAAAGAGATACAAGTGGTAAAAAACATCAACGTGGAAAGTGCTCAACAGGAAAACGAAGGAAGGGAGCAAGCTTCCATGAAGAATGAGGAAGAACCCAGCAACCTGGGAGGAGGTGAAACCCAGAAGCCTGGAGGAAATGTCAAACGGGGGCGAGTCAGGCGATTTGTTCCTAATTTTCGATGGGCCATATCTAATAAGAATGCTGATCGCAATGAATTGGGAGGAAAAGATGTAGAGAGATGTGTAGGGCAAATGGTGGAAGTTAAGAAAAAAGCTAAGGAGAGGCAGGTGAGAAATCACATGCGCTTCCAAACTCCTGAACCTGACAATCATTATGACTTTTGCCTCATACCTTGAAACCTAAGGTTTCCCCCCCCCTCCCCGAAACTCATAATGTGGTCACTGCTTTACAAGCGTACATATTTTTTAGGTCCAAGATTCTGTAGCATAGTTTATTTTACAAGCTTGCATTTTTATGATTTACGTTGTCTGTAAAACTACTAGTGTTTCGAATAACTAATTTCTAGTTGAATATTGTTTCCCCTTAATGTAAGAGCTTCTGTCAGCATGGCAGTTTCACGTGTTTTCAAAAAAATGTTCTTTTCATAATTTGAAATTAATAAAGCATTTTCAAAAGCAATTTGTGTTTCATCATGTTCCTCTTTGACCACAGTCCGTATTTTTTGTTAATCCTCTCTTTCCTGTCCCAGCTACTCAGAACTCAAACCTATTAGTCTGAAAAATGTTTTCTTATTGTCCCCAACCAATCAATAAGGAAGAATCACACACAATTCAACATCTGATAACATTTTTAAAATGTGCATCTTAGTTTTTCAAAGAATATGAGCCTACCATTTTCATGAATACCACATGGGGAATAGAAGTTTGTGAATTTAAAACCCCTGGCTCCTGTCATCCCCACCTACAGAGTGGATTTCCAGAATCTCCATTTTAACAAGCTCCCTAGATAATTTTGATATACTCTAAAGTGATATTGGGGTGAATTATATAGGTATGTACATGTCATATATTAAGTATAATAGAAACATGATGAAAATGTAATTTTGATGGGAAAACTTTTAAAAGATAGTGGACTATAAAACTTAGCTGTACACCCATGGCTCATGTCTAATCTTCTAACTATATGGGAGACTGAAAAAAGAAAGATCATAGTTTCAGGCCAGTCTGGGGGGAAAAAATCTGTGAGACTCCATCTCACAGAGGGAAGCTGGACATAATGGTGCATGGCTCTCAGCAACTACGGGAAACCTAATATAGATACATCATTTTTCAGGCTCATGCTTGAGCTGGAGGCAAGATCCTATCTCAAAAGTAGCCAGCAAAAAGTGGGGCTGGATGCCTAGCTTATCAGGAAAGCCCCTGCTTAGCGAGCTGGAGATCCTGATTTCAAATCCTAATACCACACATGCACACACACACACACACACACACACACACACACACACACACACACACACACAAGTATTGCCAGTTGCCCATACTTCATGCCTGTAATCCTAGTTTTCAGGAGGCTGAGATTGGAGGATTACAGTTTGAATACAGACTGGACAGGAAAATCCATGAGACTTTTATCTCCAATTAACCACCAAAAAGTCAGAAATGGAGCTGTGGTTCAATTGGTAGAGCCAATGGGATAGCACTCAGGCCCCAACTCCAAGACTCCCTCCCCTACCACACACTAAACCATCTCATTCAGAAGAAGTAGGGACAATGGCAACCTAAAGGGTGTTCAAATGTAAAATCACAAAGCATGACTATAGGTTACATAGAACTTGAAGACCCATAATTCACCCCTACCAGCATGTTAATCAGCATGAGGATCCCCTAAAATCCTCACCTCTACCTATAAATTCTGTTGTCATGTCTTCTATAGATGAGGGCATTGAAGTTGAGAGATGCCAAGTACTAGGGCTATCCAAAGATAAGACCTGGGACATTTTCTATAAGACTTTGTCATAAGGATGCTAAATATTAACTTTCTGTCAGCTAAATATTTACCTTATATTTATCTTGTATCAACAAAAATGAGACTTATTTTTCTGTACATCCAATACAAAGAATTTGATGTTTAGGATTTTGGGGCATAAAAACATCATAATATCTCTCCAGTCCAGTGTTATTCAAAGTAAGGATTACCCTCCATTATAGCTCTTGAAATAAAGTAGGTCACACCAGAAAAATGTTCAGAACTTGGGGTGTAGGTCAGTGGTAGAATACTTGGCCAGCATTACAAGGTCCTGGGTTGCATCTCCAGTTCCAGTCCCAAGGGAGTCCATCTCCCAACACTAATGTCAAGAGCTAGAATTGTTTTCACAAACTTAGTCTTATGTGTAGGAAATGCCACCTTTAAGTTGTATTTCTAAGGGCTGAAATGTAGCTCCGTAGTGCACTGTCTGTGCATGTGTGTGTATTTATGTGTATATGTGTGTATACAAAGAGAGAGAGGAGGGAGGGAGAGAGAGAGAGCACAGAAAACTTTCAACAACACCTATCTGACTTCACAAATAAGGAGAAACTAAGTAGGAAAGTGATTTACCTGAAGTCATACAATTAGTGAAAGAGGTCACTCAGCCCTGAATTTCCCAATTCTCTGTCCAGGAGGTTTGTCTTCTCACTCCAGTGACAGCGTAATGACAATACTTCCACATGGAGCTTAGTAACTTAGAGCCAAATTAATAGACTGATTTCAAAATCAGTATAATGTTGAATGAGACAATTTATTAGATGGAACAGCTCTTGTTCTGATACACCATCTTCATTACATATTAAAATCTTTTAAAAGGGGAAGCATTTCTTCTCAAATATCTCTCTGTATATTCAGAGGATGTAGTTAATGAATCCCCACCAGTGCATGACAGTGCGTGGATCTCACATAATAAAATTTTGTCAGCCAGCTGTAGTGGCTTAAGTATGAAATGCTAACTACTTGCAAGACAGAAGTCAGGACATTATGATTAGAGGACATTCCCAGGTATAAAAGTTTCCAAGACTCCGTCTCAGAGGATAATACACATACTGTCTACCGTATTATTACATCAGTTAGCTACTGACAAAAATTGTTCAAATTTAGGCTATTCTGTCTACTATGATGTTCCTGATTCAGATTAATGTAATTGACCCTTCCTTTGTAAAATTTATTATTCAAAGGTATGGTATCACTATTGAAAGCAAGGACCCAAATCAAGTTTATGATTTAATCTGAGCATTGTCAGCCTAAGGACAATAACTATTATAAGATTAAAATAAACTTTCCTGTTGATTGCTCAATTCTTGTTAAAAGCAGCATGTTGCTCCAGACATAGTTGGGAAGTAGATAAATACCGAATATATGACAACACTTCAAAATTTCCTTTTCCATATCTCCTTAGATTCTTACCTGTACATTATATTAAGCAATATTTTATATTGCAACTTTTTAGTGTGTGCATGAAGAGGCTGTATTCATTCAATTCGTTCAACAAACCCACTAGTGTCCACTGCATGAGATAGCACATTGAATTTATAGTCTCTATTGCCCACACAAATATGCATAAATTCAGCAAGGGTTTTATCTTAACACATATTAGTAAACATCAGTTTTGTCCCTGGAACTGTCCTAGGAATCAGAAATTACAGTGCGAAGAAAAAAAAACAAAAGGGCTGGGAAGGTGGCTCAGTGGTAGAGCACTTGCCTTGCATGCATGAGGCCCTGGGTTCGATTCCTCAGCACCACATAAGCAGAAAAAAAAAGCCGGAGGTGGCGTTGTGGCTCCAGTGGTAGAGCGCTAACCTTGAGCTGAAGAGCTGAGGGACAGCGCCCAGGCCCAGAGTTCAGGCCCAACGATCGGACCCCCCCAAAAATAAAAATAAAAAAATCTCATATTATGGAACTTATATGCTTAATGAAGAAATAACAAAAAAAAGGCTCAGGGGAATGACTGAGGGAGATGAGGGAATAAATCAATATGTAGGGGAAGAGTTCTCCAACAAAAGGGACAAGCACAGGAGAGGAGCTGAAAGCTCCAAATACAGCTAGCATTCGGTCCTTCCTACTTTAATCTTTCCAGAAACTTCTGTCAAGCATATTCTTGAAAATTTTGCAAGTTATAGCAAACACATTGAATGTTCAGGATTTGTGGGACATAATAATGTAACAACCATAATTTTTATTCCTACTGCTTATGCAAACCTGCTCTTTAGAATTCATTCTTTCCCCTGTCCCTTAGTGAAATCCTGGCTGTGATCCATGGCTTTTTTTTTTCTTTTTTTGTCTTTCATGGGGCCTGAACTCTCGACCTGTGCACTGTCCCTCAGCTCTTCAGCTCAAGGCTAGAGCTGTACTACTTGAGCCACAGAGCCATTTCTGGCTTTTTCTGCTTATGTGGTGCTGAGGAATCGAACCCAGGACCTCATGCATGCAAGGCAAGCACTCTACCACTGAGCCACCTTCCCAGCCTGATCCATGGCTTTTTTTTTTGCTTACTCTTGTAAAGTGGAAGTCCTCCTGTCGATTCATGTAACAGTTTCTATTCACTGAATAAATAGAAAGGGATTCAAATCTTACATAATCTAGTATTGCCACTTTCTAGCCTAGGAAAATATTTAAAGTTGACTTTCTCTTATGTGATATGATTAAGGATTCTATATTGAATTTCTCATTGCTGAGGAGCTCTCCTATGCGGTTCTCCTAAAATTGGCAACTACATATTCTTAAATTAGTCACTTTTGACTTGGTTAGCCTTTGAGCTTCCATTAGTATATTTCCAGATATTTCCTGGTTAGATTTTCAGAAGACCATCACAATCTAGATTCATGGCATCCCCAAACTAGTTCTGTCTCCCTTATGATTCTTGCTTGTGTCTGTGGGAGCCATTAGCACACTGTTTCTCCTAACTCCTGAATTCTCACAACTCCTAAATTCAGAGTGTAAGCTCTTCTTTAAACTCTCTTCATTCTAATGTCAAAGTATCTTACCGATCTGATTTCATAGGGGTGATTCAGATTTCTACTATGATAGCATGTTCTAAGGCTATTGAAGATCTTTGTCCTAGGCTTGAGGTGACAAGAAGCATTCCTACTCCTTCATGTGGAAGCTATATTGACTGTTAGGTTTAGATGATACTAATGTGTTAATGTTAATTTTCTGATCTTGATCATCGTACTTGTGTAGGAAAATATCTGTAGGCTTTATATCCTAGAGATGTTTGAGACGACATTTCTTTTCTATTGATTCATTTTCTAACCAATTATCACAAACTTAGTTGACAACAACTGTTCGTTAGCTCCTAGTTCTGTAGCTATTATTCTGGATGGCCTTGATTGGTGCTTTATTTTAGATTGTCACAAGACAAAGATCG